CTCTCTCTGTCAAATAAATAAATAAAATCTTTTTTAAAAAGCACCAAATCAAAACATCAAATTCAGTGCAACATGCTTGAAATTAGAAATTCAGTTGCAGTGACTAATTCGGGTGAAAACCCAAGAGGGGTTCCATAATCTGATACAGCGTTCCAGGCAGCAATGCTGGGTAAGAATTTTAACAAAGTAAATGCAAGGATTATGGTGATCTAGCCTGTGTCCTCTCAAACAAATGCCGGAGAATGCATATGAAAGTCTTTTTGGCCCAAAGTAGTTTCCAAAACCTTTGGAAAACTTGTTGATGTGTCTGAGGAAAACGAGCCCCCAGGCACCCTGGTTCTGGTGCCACCAACAGAGTTGTGTGCCCCCCTTCCGTGGTCATGCTTTAAAATTAGAGCCCACGGGGTCTGGGAGTCACCACAGAGCATGGAGCTATGACCCACCCCAACAGCTGCCTTCCCTCCCTGGGAGGGCTAAGATTAGGGCTGCACAAATTCCTAGAGTAGAAATGAAGGGCCACAATTAACCGGGTGACTTAATTTGGCAATCTGGCCCTTCTATTGTGGTCAGAAAGTGGCCCTTCTCATGGCCAGGGCTTTGCTACTAAGGGACTCAGTCACTTCAGATCAATCGCTGCCTTGTGGGCCTTTCCAAAGAATTTCAAGACCCCTACTCATCGTCTCCTGGGCATCACGTTCTGAGTCAGCTCGTGCAAAATCCTATCACTGCGTTTTGTCCCAGGCTGAACAAAGTCAGCTGCAGGGCACACCCTAGAGCCGGGGCCTCCACATGGCCGCTCCTGGGCCTTCAATGGCAAAAGCCTGGGCAAGCACATGCAGGGGAGTCCGGAGGCCAGAGAACACTGTCCAAGCAAGAAACAGACCCTACTTTCCAACCACTGACTCTCAGATGTGCTGGTAGCTCATCAGGAAGCCATAGTAATGAAGACAGTGGCTCAGGTATGGAGGAAGGGGAGGGAGGGAAGGAGCGAGGGGAGGGGGAGGGGGAAGGGAGCAGAGGG